AGAGAGCGGGTAGGAGAGAGGGAGGGAGGGAAGGATAGAGAGATATAGAGGGCAGGAGAGAGAGAGGTGGGAGCGAGGAAGAGATGCAGGGAGGGAAGGAGGGAGGGAGAGGGAAAAGTAAAGAGGGAGAGGGAAAAAGAGAAAATAGGACAGAAAAGAAGGGAGATAGAAGGTGGAAGAGAGAAAAGAGACGGCAGAGAAGGAAAGTGTAGGTGAGAGGATAAGGGGATAAGGGAGACGGATGAAGACACAGAAGGAGATACAAATAAATCGGATAAGCGAAACACGTAAACTAACAAATAACCTAAAACAACGAACTTCCTAAACAAACAAACTACACACAAACAAACCCAAACGAAACAGAGACAAAGAACCTTCCCCTCCCCTTCCACCCTCCCTTCCTTCCCCCTTCCCCCCCCTTTCCCTTCCCTCCCTCCCCCCCCCCTTCCCCCCCTTTCTCTTACCTGGCTACCCTCGAGGAACCACTGCAACGTTGGTTTGTGGTCATCGTGAAAGGGGCGCTGCGGCTGGCAACCTATTTTGATCAGCTCCGTCGGCTCGTAGATCTCCCTCGCCCCCACCAGCACCGGGGGGGATAGCGGTTCTCCTGTAAGGGGGGGTGGGTGGAGGTGGAGGAAGGAGCGGGGGGGGGAGGGGGGAGGGACAGGGGTTGATGTAGGAGTGGGTGGGAATGAGGTAGAAGGGTGAAGTTTGGGGGTGGGTGGGTAGAGGGAGGTATTGGGGTTGGGGGTAGAGGGGAGGATGAAAGGGGAGGGGGAAGAAGGCGTGGGGGGGGGTGGAGGAAAGTTGGGCGAGGGTAGAGTAGGAGGGGGAGGGAAGGGTAGAAGGAGAGGGAGGGGAGATAGAGGGGATGGGAGAGACGGCGGAGAAGAGGCAGGGGATGGACGTGTATGGGGAGGTAGGGATGTGTGGAAAAAAAGTAAGGAAAATGTAGTATGTCGGAAATGATGTAGGGTAAATAAGTGTAAAATGTAAGGGGAGAAATTAAGGAAGTGGGACGAATGGCAAAGGAAGAGGGGGAAGAGAAAGAGAAAAAAAAAGCGATTAGTCAAGACCCATAATCATAAACAACACAGATAAAAATGGCATAAGCAGAGATGTTGAGTGTTGGTGTCACACGTGATGAAGCCGAATGCTATTTATAGTAATGACGAAACAATTTATTGACAAGAAGGCACGTCCTGCTATAATTGCCTCGTCAGAAATGTTCACAAGTTGATTCACCGTTAGGAACAGTGTCTAAACTTATGAACCTAGTGATATAAATACATGTAAAGTGAAAATTAGCTGAATTTGCATAAATTGTACAGTCATGGGGGGTAAACTTTGGTAGGATTCTCGAGGCAATATTCGAAACACACTTAAAACAAACTTGCTGATGTACACATACATATCCATACAGATAAGTCAGATATTCGTGCACATGTTCATGTATCTCTCTCTTTGGACACACACACACACATAACCACACAAACACACACACACACAAATTAAATACACACACACACACACACACACACACACACACACACACACACACACACACACACACACACACACACACACACACACACACACATAACCACACAAACACACACACACTAAATATATACATACACACACACACACACACACACACACACACACACACACACACACACACACACACACACACACACATATATATATATATATATATATATATATATATATATATATATATATATATATATGTATATATATAAAGATAATGTTATACGTTTTAATACAAGGAAAATAATTTCCCAATGAACTTATTTTCTGATGTGGATGCCATTGACAATGTATCATTTAATCCGATCCAACGTCCGTATATAGGGATTTGATTAAGTAGAAATAGTAATAGTAGTAATAAAAGGAGAAGAAAAAGAAGAAAAAAGGAAGAAGTAGAAGGACGAGAATAAGAAAAAAAGAAGAAAAGAAGAAGAAGAAAAAAAGAAGGAGAAGAAAAAGAAGAATTAGTAGTAGTAGTGGAAGAACTAGAAAAAAGAAAGATATAGAAGTAGAAGAACAAGAAAAAGAAAAGGAGAAAAGAAGAAGAAGAAGAAAGAGAAGAAGGAGGAGGAGGAGGAGAAACCACCTTCCCCTTCACTCAATTACGAACATAATACAATATAATCAAACGAACAAACAAACAAATAGGTGCAAAAACAAAACATAACAAAGCATAACAAAATTCAGATTAAGGTAGATTTCAAGCAGCTACTTCAACATGAACTCTTGTCTGTGTCTGTCTCCGTCTTTCTCTCTCTCTCTCTCTCTCTCTCTCTCTCTCTCTCTCTTTCTCTTTCTTTCTTTCTCTCTCTCTCTCTCTCTCTCTCTCTCTCTCTTTCTCTCTTCCTCTTTCTCTTTATGTTTGTTTTGATTCCATGTCTGCCACACACACATAAAAACACACACCCACGCTCACACACACACACATACACACACACACAACCCTCCCCCCCCCATAAACACACAAACACACAACCCCCCACCCACCCCACACACACACACATACACACACTCAAGTAATTTTCTCGCCGTACAAAATTGTTGCTTAATAGATCCCTGTAGACTTATAACACACAAGGAAAGACCGTTGCTTTAGATCCAATAATTAAAACACTATATTAAAAAGTCTGGATTTCCTTTATTACTATTATTACTGATATTATTATCATAATTATTATGACTACTACTAATATTGTTATGATAATACTGATGATAATAATAATGATGATGATAATGATAATGATAATAATAATAATGACAAAAAATTATTGTTATTATTATTATTATTATTATTATTATTATTATCATTATTATTATTGTCATTATTATTATTATCATTATTATTATTGTCATTATTATTATTATCATTATCATCAGCATTATTATCATCCTCCTCATAATGGTTATCATTATTATCTTTATTAACATAATAATCACAGATATGTATATATATATATATATATATATATATATATATATATATATATAGATAGATAGATAGATAGATAGATAGATAGATAGATAGATAGATAGATATAGATAGATAGATAGATCGGTAGATAGATAGATAGATAGATAGATAGATAGAGAGAGAGTGAAAGAGAGTGAGAAAGAGAGAGAGAAAGGGGTGATATAGAGACAAAAGAGAGAGAGAAAAAAAACACACAGCGAAAGAAAGGGCGAAAGGCAGATAAATAAATGATTAAATTCACGGAGAGATAAATCGATCAATAAAAACCCATTCCCGACGCAGTTTCACCTCCTGTGCTTGATTTCCTCCGAGAACTGCACGTTTCGATGCATTTGCAAGCAGATTCCTCCGTTTTGCAAACCGCTCTTTTAATAACCGCGATTGATTTCCTCCGGCGGTGTTGTCGCTGCGTTTCGGCAATAGGTCGTTAGAGTCGTTTTTCTTGCCCATTAACGAATTAACTATCGCCGTTGGTCCGGAACTGGCGGTGGTGCGAAATTGAGGCTTATTTTCCCCGTCGCTAAGGGTCGGTTTGCCTTGCGGGTGAGGGTTTGTCTCGATCCATAAAGAATGGCGTTACAAGTTCGTCATGAAAGAGTATGTGATTCCTGTATGTGTTCTATGTGTGCTTATGTGTATTTATGTGTGTGTAAATACACACATACACATATATTTGCGTGTGTGTGCGTTTTCGAGGGTGTTGGATCTCTATCTATCATTTTCTCTGCTTGTCTGTCTGTCTGTCTGTTTGTATGTATGTCTGTCTGTCTCTTTCTCTCCCTCCCACTCCCCCCCCCCGCTCTCTCTTATGGGCGTAAGCGTGGGTGTAAGTGTGTGCAGACGAACGAATTTATAAGTGTGTGCATGTGCATATTCAGCATGAGCCTGAATTTCCAATGATTGATCTCACATATCTTCATAACGAATAAAAGTAGCAATTCTGTGCTTCTGAGCTATTTATAGCTTAACCTCTCGTCGTATCATAAAACGTATTTTTAGATATTAACAACACGGTATTTCAGTGTGAAAGAGAAAGGGAGGAAAATATGTGATGTAGGTAAGATGACGTAAACAAGCACGCAAACACATGAGCGGCTTAACATACACACATACACATTCACACAAACATACACACACACACACACACATTCACACAAACACACACACACACACACATACACACACGGCACACACACACACACACACACACACACACACACACACACACATTCACACAAACATACACACACACACACACACACATACGGCACACACACTCACACACACACACACACACACACACACACACATACACATACACACACATCACGTTGCACAAACACACAAACATACATACATGAATATACATCCATACGCGCACACCATTTCTGAAAATGTTATAACCTTCCAAACAGCTTGAAAAACGAGAGAAAAAAAAGTCTCTGAATTCCAGATTTATGCCTTCGATTTCATCTTCAGGGAAAAGAATTTACACCTGTCCTACCGGGCTGGACTTGCATCATATTCTGCCAGAGTCTATCTCCGTTTCTCCTTTTACCCGTTTTCTTCTTCTCATCGTTTTTCTTCGTTTTCCTTTTCTCCGTTTTCTTCGTCTCCGTTTCACCGTTTACCCGTTTTCTTCTTCTCATCGTTTTCTTCGTTTTCCTCTTCTCCGTTTTCTTCGTCTCCGTTTCTCCGTTTACCCGTTTTCTTCTTCTCAGCGTTTTCTTCGTTTTCCTTTTCTCCGTTTTCTTCGTCTTCGTTTCTCCGTTTTCTCATTTTTTTTCTTTTCGTCGTTTTCTTCGTCTACGTTTTCGGTTTTCTCATTCTTTTTATGCATCTCATTTTTTCTTCATCTCCGTTTCTTGTTTCCGCGTATTCGTTTCATCGTCTCCGTTTCCTGTTTTCTGTTTTTTACTTATCTCGTTTTCTTCGGATTCGTTTCTCGTTTTCCCATTTTAAAAATCTATTTTGCTTTCTTCGTTTCCGTTTCTCGTTTTCCCCTTTTTTTTGTCTCGTTTTCCCATTTTCTTCTTATCTCATCTATCATATCTTATCGTTTTTTGTTCCCTTCTCTCGTTTCCTTTTTCCTTCTCTTTTTTGTCTTTGTCTCTCTTCGTTTTCTCGTTTTCTGTTTCTCCATTTCTTATTTTCACATTTTCTTCTTAACTCATTTTCTTATAATAGTAGTAATAGTAACAATAACAATAATAATAATAATAACAATAATAACAATAATAGTAATAATAATAATATTAATAATAATAGTAATAATAACAACAACAACAACAGCAACAACAACAATAATAATAGCGATAATAATGATAATATTAATAATTATAATAATAATAATAATGACAATAATAATGATAATAATAATAATAATAATAATAATAATAATAATAATAATAATAATAATAATAATAATGATAATAATAATAATAATAATAGTAATAATAATAATAATAATGATGATGATAATAATAATAATAATAATAATAATAATAATAATAATAATAATAATGATAATAATAATAATAATAATAATAATAATAATAATAACAATAACAACAACAACAATA